ATGTTGTCCTGAACTGCGCCAACCGTCGCAAGGCGAGGAATCCAATCGGAAGAACTCGTGCGGCGCAATGCACCACCCTCGGGTTTGAGAATGGTGGTGAGATGTTAATTGCTTCGCCTGGAATGTAGAAGGTCGTGAGTTTGATCCCAACCCTTGACGCCAGTTGTATATTTGGAGTTTGCGTGTTCTCCCCCGTGGTCGAGTGGATTTTCTCCGGGCCCGCTGGTTTTTCCATCCACATTAAGAAACAATGCGCGTTTCGAGCATTTGGCTGCTATACATTTCTACTTGATAAGCCACTCCGTTGAGCTATCATTTGTGGCCAGGTAGCTTTTGAAAAACAGCTGCATAGCTCAGTGGACCTTACCTGGTAAAAAAAAATAATTTTAGGAGTGAAATAGGTCACAGAATTGCTTCCGAAATCTCAAATTGGCTCTTATCCACACACACTAGGGGGCACCACCTGCCTACCCAGACATGCCCATCTGGATGAGAGCTATTAACTACTATGAGCCAAGAATGTCTGTGTCCCGCGCGTGACGTCACTCCACGTCGACCAGCCCCCCTCATTAATAATCATGAACAGGTTACGTCCTCCACATGGACCCCACTCATTAATAATCATGAGCGGGTGACGTCACTCCGCATGGAGAACCCCCACACTCATTAATAATCATTATAAGCTGACGTCCTCCAAATGGACACCCCCGCCATTAATATTAATTAGCGGCTGACGTCACTCCACATGGGGGGGGCGAGGCGCCTCCTCCCCCCTCCTCGGCGTCAACTCACAACCCTCACTACAAAGGCAGAACCCTCACGTCATCACGTGATCTCACCCTCACTACAAAGGCAGAACCCTCACGTCATCACGTGATCTCACCCTCACTACAAAGGCAGAACCCTCACGTCATCACGTGATCTCACCCTCACTACAAAGGCAGAACCTTCACGTCATCACGTGATCTCACCCTCACTACAAAGGCAGAACCTTCACGTCACGTGATCTCACCCTCGCTACAAAGGCAGAACCCTCACGTCATCACGTGATCTCACCCTCACTACAAAGGCAGAACCCTCACGTCATCACGTGATCTCACCCTCACTACAAAGGCAGAACCCTCACGTCATCACGTGATCTCACCCTCACTACAAAGGCAGAACCCTCACGTCATCACGTGATCTCACCCTCACTACAAAGGCAGAACCCTCACGTCATCACGTGATCTCACCCTCGCTACAAAGGCAGAACCCTCACGTCATCACGTGATCTCACCCTCGCTACAAAGGCAGAACCCTCACGTCATCACGTGATCTCACCTTCGCTACAAAGGCAGAACCCTCACGTCATCACGTGATCTCACCCTCACTACAAAGGCAGAACCCTCACGTCATCACGTGATCTCCGTCACGCTGTTCGTCACGATGAACAAGGGATAATAACCTTTAAATCAGGGGTCGGGAACCTATGGCTCGCGAGCCAGATGTGGCTCTTTTGATGATTGCATATGGCTCGCAGATAAAACAAAATATTCTCACTTGTTTTAATCCATCCATCGATTTTTCACTGCGCATGTCCTGTTCAGGGCTGCAGGAGCAATTGTCCATTATTTTAATTGGATGATACTGGCCTACGTTTGCCGTTGCTGGGTAAAACAGGTAAACGCCCCCTTTTGAATCAGTCTGAGACTGCGTCTGCTCGGTCATTAGCTCAAAGCTAACCCTTCGACGAAGAAGATGGCGAAAAGAAAAAAAGACGACGAGTATCGTACATTTCAGGACGAATGGACCGAAGAATTCGCCTTTGTGGAGAGAGCGGGTTCTGCGGTGTGTCTAATTTGCAATGACAAAATTACATCGTTGAAACGGTCGAATGTAAAGCGGCACTTCGACACGCGCCACGCTACCTTTGCATCAAAATACCCTGCGGGAGACAGCAGAAAGAAAGCGTGCCAAGAGCTTCTGAGCAGGGTGCAAGCTAGCCAGCAGCAACTCCGCGTATGGACCCGGCAAGGTGACTATAATTCGGCTAGCTTTGCTGGTTCTTTAGCAATAGTGAGGAACGGAAAACCATTCACAGATGGCGAGTATGCTAAAACGTTCATGCTGGATGTAGCCAATGAACTTTTTGATGATCTTCCGAACAAAGACAAGATAATCAAACGGATACAAGACATGCCTCTGTCGGCAAGAACTGTTCATGATCGTACCATCGTGATGGCAAACAAAGTGGAGGAAACGCAAGTGAAGGACATAAATGCAGCGCCGTTCTTTTCTCTGGCTTTGGATGAGTCAACAGACGTGAGCCATTTGTCGCAGTTCAGCGTGATTGCAAGATATGCTGTTGGTGACACACTGCGCGAAGAAAGTCTTGCTGTTCTGCCATTAAAAGGGTCCACAAGAGGTGAGGATTTATTCAAGTCTTTCATGGAGTTTGCTCAAGAAAAAAGTCTACCTATGGATAAACTTCTCTCAGTGTGTACTGATGGTGCTCCGTGTATGGTGGGGAAAAACAAAGGATTTGTGGCGCTTCTCCGTGAACATGAAAATAGACCCATCCTAAGTTTCCATTGCATTATACACCAGGAGGCACTTTGTGCTCAGATGTGTGACAGGCAGTTTGGTGAAGTGATGTCGCTGGTCATTCGTGTGATCAACTTTATTGTTGCCCGAGCCTTAAATGATCGCCAGTTTAAAACACTGCTGGATGAAGTTGTAAATAACTATCCTGGTCTGCTTTTGCACAGCAATGTGTGTTGGTTGTCAAGAGGGAAGGTGCTTAGCCGTTTTGCGGCTTGCCTGAACGAAATCCGGACTTTCCTTGAAATGAAAGGCGTCGGGCATCCTGAGCTAGCCGACACCGAGTGGCTCCTCAAGTTTTACTATCTCGTAGATCTGACTGAACATCTGAACCAGCTCAACGTGAAAATGCAAGGCATTGGAAATACAGTGTTATCCCTTCAACAAGCTGTATTTGCTTTTGAAAACAAGCTGGAGCTTTTCATCACGGATCTTGAAACAGGTCGTTTACTACATTTTGAAAAACTGAGCCAATTTAAAGATGCATGCACAGCAAGTGAGCCCATTCAAAACCTTGATCTCCACCAGCTAGCTGGCTGCACATCCAGTCTCCTACAGTCCTTCAAAGCACGCTTTGGAGAATTTCGTGAGCACACTCGTCTCTTTAAGTTCATCACCCATCCAAACGAGTGTTCACTGAACACAGCCGACCTGAATTACATCCCTGGTGTCTCCGTCAGAGATTTTGAAGCAGAAGTGGCTGACCTGAAGGCCTCAGACATGTGGGTGAATAAGTTCAAGTCACTGAATGAAGATTTGGAAAGAATCACACGACAGAAAGCGGAGTTGGCGAGCAAGCACATGTGGACAGAAAAGAAAAAACTCCAACCCGAAGACCAGCTGATTCTCAAAACTTGGAACGCGCTTCCTGTCACATACCACACACTGCAGCGTGTGAGTATTGCTGTATTGACCATGTTTGGATCTACGTATGCATGTGAGCAGTCATTCTCACATCTTAAAAACATCAAGTCCAACCTACGATCACGTTTAACGGATGAAAGCCTCAACGCTTGCATGAAGCTTAACCTCACCAAGTACCAACCCGACTACAAAGACATCAGCAAATCCATGCAGCACCAGAAGTCGCATTAATGGTGAGTGTTATAACAACATTATTTAAAAGAATAAATTCAGAGGCTTATTATACATACATTTAGTTGAATTCACTTCTAAAATATATTATATGGCTCTCACTGAAATAAATTTCCAAATTTTTTGCTTTCATGGCTCTCTTAGTCAAAAAGGTTCCCGACCCCTGCTTTAAATGAAACAGGTCTGTGTCACCGCGGCCTTACAAATCGCACACGCATTGATGCAATGGATATATCACGTCGCGGTCTGCTTTTCGCTTGCGAGTTTCAGATTTACTGCTTACACCCGTCCTTGGACGAGCAAAAGGCGAGTTTTAAATATTCGCGGCCGTAGCACCGCTCCGACCCGACAAGAAGTCGTGTGATGGCGTGGGAGCGGCGTGGATGGTGAGAGCGTGAAAGTTGCCGACGGAACGCTCTCCCTCCTCAGTCTGCCTTTGCCTGCCGCACTATTTGGCACGCAAGCACCATCCCTTACAATTTGTTGTAATAATGCATTGTATAATCATTTTTTTCATTTGCACTTTTAAATGCGTTTCTGTTCATCATTATTAAAGGCAATAGTTAAATAACACAGTAATACTGTACAATATACGTATTGATTAATGTATCTGTGAATGTTTTTTTTAAACGTAATATATATGTTTATGGCCCCTAACCCTATTTTCCTCAAACTTTAATTGTAATTATTAATAGTCGCAGGTTTAATATTCGCTCCATTCACCAGGAACGTGTATCCCCTGCTAATATTAAGGGTTTACTGTACAGTCAAACAGGTATTCTTAGTTCTCAAACCAACATTTTTATTTGTCAAGAGCTGGAATTTCATCCAAATTCAGCAAAACAAAAAATGAAGTGAAAATCAAATTTTACTTTTTTTTACCAAAACTTTCGTGACTGCAGGAATTCATATTCTTTGGTTCTTTCGGTAAAGTTACGTAGATAGAACAAATTATGATAAAAATACCAGGACGTTTCCATCGCAACACAAGCGGTCATCATTAGGAAAAGGGGTTAGCCTCTAAAGGCAAACTGTTTATAAAGGTTTTGAGATGGGCGTAGCCCAAATGTGTCAGCAGCACCAGCAATGCCAATGCAGCACCAACATTGCCAATGCAGCAGCAATGCCAATGCAGCAAAGGGCTGCCAGGAAATCACTGCACCCTGCCGAGCTAAGACCATCAACTCTCGCCACATTTGAGTACCTGGTTTCATCACAGGTGGCTACCTGGATTCGAACTGGGCTCGATTTTTTACAATCTCATTCACGAAAAACATGACGATGAAGTTACCGACACCAAAGCAAACCTCGGCACTGAGAAAATATCTCTCGTCAGAAAAAAAATTTTATTCCACCGTTTTCTATTGTCATAAATTACATTCGGATAGCACCGATGGCATCGAGGCGTGAAGCAAAAACACCTTGATGAAATATTCTTGGGTCTTTCGGTGAAGTCACGTAGATAGGTTCAAAGAAAATAACAAAAAAAATAACGAAAAAACTACGACGTTTCGATCGCAACACAAGCGTTCGTTTTTTTTTTCTTTGAACCTATTTACGTGACTTTACAGAAAGACCCAAGAATATGAATTCCTGCGGTCACGAAAGCTTTAAGTCAAGATTTAACCTTGATGAAACACTCAAGGATATACAATGATTCTCCATCTTTATAGATCAAAGTGCTACGGCCACGTTGTGACGAGTCTGAGATCATCTCCTCCTGAAACTGAGAGCCCAGTGTAATCAATCCATGGGCCCGAATCGGGGACTGGCGGCGGTACTGGTTCGGTCCTCAAGAGTCCGCCGTTAGGAACCCCTCAACCACCTAATCGTAACGATTCGTGGTCATTTTGAACAGAGATAAAAGTCGAGCAAGATTCAATTTACAAAAAAAAAAATTAAGCCACAGACGAAGCCGCCCCTCTCTCTCCTCCTCGAGCACCGGTGTGATGGACCCCCTTCTACCGCTCGCTCGGCCAGCCCCCCCTCTGCTCCTCGTGTTCCTTCCTCTACAGCTTGTGTCCCTTTCACGCTCCTGCCCCTCACCCCAGTAGCTGTTTTTTTCTGACCTCCACTGCTCGTGACGATTCCTTACTGCTCGTCTCCCTGTCTCTCACTCTACTACTACTACTCTCAACTGGTCCTCTCTTCACTCTTCTCTCTCTCTCTCTCTATTCATCTCTCTATTCAGAATCAGGATCTGTATTCATACTGGAGGAATCCGACTATGAAGCTCTTTTTCACAGATGTCCAGTAGGGGCACGGGGTTCAGAGCGTTATAACAACTCAAAGTTACACTTCTCTCGCGACTTCTGCTTCAGTCCCCGCTACTCCCCTCCCTACTTCCATCTGTCGACGACTGCTTGTTCCCTCTCCCTCACTGCCCGTGTCCCTTCTCCGCCCGTGCTGCCCGCCCCCCGCCACCGTTGCCCCTACGGCTGCCGCGGCCGCACCAACACGAGCTGCACGTCCATGACGTTGGTACCCGTGAGCCCCGTGACGACGAGGCCCTCGCCCAGCGCCGAGTAGAACCCAAACGAGTCGTTGCGCCGCAGGGCGTTCTCCACGTCCGCCCCGGCCGCGCGCGCCTCCGCGACGAGCGAGGGCCAAGCCAGCGCCCCGGCCGCCGGCGTGGGGCCGTCTTGGCCATCCGTGCCGGCGCTCAGGAACACGGCGGAGCAGCCGCGCGTCGCGTCCACGGTGTCGCCGGCGTCGCCGACGTCGCTCGGTGCGGCACCGGGCCCAAGAGGGGACTGGTGGGTGCGGGGGGAAACGCGCAACATGCAGGTGGCTTTTCACGTGACCGTCTCCCGGTGAGTATACTGGGTTCTCGAGTGCAGCGAGTAGACCGGCTCAGCTCGGTTACTCATAGGCTCACACAGAGACCCGTAGACTCGCACTGAGACTTGCATAGACACCGATACTTGCGCAGAAATCGGAAATGAATGCCGCATGTAGGTTTTCCACAGCCACTCGTAATCCAAGTGCGGTTTTCCGGGTTAGACCATGTGTTGAGCTTTTCTTCTCTCAACTTCTTGCCACACACTACTGCAGAAAGAGAATAAATGCTGAACATGCAGCATAACCCCGAAGACAACACTCGGATAATAATAATTGCTGCCATTCCTCTGGGAATTGAACACTGACCCTGATGCCTATTCTTTGGTTCTTTTGGTAAAGTCACGTAGATAGAAGAAGAAAAAATAAAAATAAAGTGAATAAAAATACCAGGACGTTCGATCGCAACACAAGCGGTCATCATCAGGAAAAGGGGGTTAGCCTCTAAAGGCAAACTGCTTATAAAGGTTTGGAGATGGGCATAGCCCAAGTGTTGTGGCAGCACCAGCAATGCCAATGCAGCAGCACCAACATTGCCAATGCAGCAGCAATGCCAATGCAGCAAAGGGCCGCCGAGAAATCACTGCACCCCGCTCCACACACCACACTTCTGACGGTGGAGGTTGATTGACAAGGACAGGAGGTTGATTGAAGTACAAGATTCCTGACATGCAATATCCCGGAATCTACAAACTAAGCTGTATCTGCGGCAGCAGTTACATTGGAGAAACTAAGCGACATGTCTCGGACCGTGTTCATGAGCATAAGACATTTGAAACACGGTAGGACCAATACTTCTGCCGTGGCTGATCTTTATTTTAATGCGGCTGGCTCACACGAAATTGATTTCTCTAAGACGATGGTACTTTGCAAGCCTACTGGCTATCAACAAAGATTCCTTCAAGAAACCATCCATATATATAGACACAATTTCAACCGACAGGATGGTTATAGACTCAGCAATCATTGGAAAGATGTCATCAACCACTTTGGGTCATGACTTGACTTGTGTTTTCTTGTCAACCTCCACCGTCAGCAGTATGGTGTGTGGAGCGGGGTGCAGTGACTTCCTGGCGGCCCTTTGCTGCATTGGCATTGCTGCTGCATTGGCAATGTTGGTGCTGCTGCATTGGCATTGCTGGTGCCACTGACACATTTGGGCTACGCCCATCTCCAAACCTTTATAAACAGTTTGCCTTTAGAGGCTAACCCCTTTTCCATGATGATGACCGCTTGTGTTGCGATCGAAACGTCGTGGTATTTTTAATCATAATTTTTTCAATCTACGTGACTTTACCGAAAGAACAAAAGAATATGAATTCCTGCAGTCACGAACGTTTTAAGTAAAAACCCTGATGCCTGTTGGGGTTCGAGGTCCGGTGCATGGTTGGCTGCTGCGATTAGGATTATGGGTTGCTGGTGGTATGTATGGTACCTGTATGGGCTGGGTTTGTCTCAAGCCCCCAAGCCTCCGAGCCACGCGCAGCGCCAGCTCCTGATTGCGCCCGCCCCGGCCATCGCCCCTGACGCTCACGGTCGTCTCCCCCCCGCATGCCACGCACAGGCGCCCTCCCCGGCGGCGCGCAGCAATCGCCACCGTGTCAGCCAGCGCCTCCATCGACAGGTCACCCACGCCACATCGCGTCGCCGCCTCCTTTAGACGCTCCGCCTCCTCCACCTCCTCAACCTCGTCGACCTCGTCCTCCGCCCCCTCCGCATCCCCTCCGCCCGTCGGGCCTCCGCGCGAGCGTAGGCGACGGCACGCGTACGCGATGAGCCGGGAGTAGAACTCGGCGGCGTCCGCCACGTCGCCCGTGACCGAGCGGGACAGCGCCAGCGGCTCGTAGCCCAGCCGAGCGGCGTGGGCGCACGCCTCCTCGAGCGCCAGCCCACTGGAGCCCACGACGAGGTTGAGGACGTGCGAGAGGTCGTCGTCGTCGTCAGAGCGGGGCGACGGCAGGTGGGAGAGGTGGTGCAACACGGAGGGCGCGACGCGGCCCAGCAGCTCGTAGCGGCCGAGCACGTCCAGGCAGTCCGACGGGGTCGTGGGGTTGCGCACCGTTGGGCCGCTCGCGATCGCTTCCAGTGGATCCCCCACCACGTCCGACAGGATCAGCGTGACGACCTGGAGCGCACGGGTGCGCGGGCGTCTCTATATGCCATCCCTGCTCGTGCCTCTGCTCGATGGTACTCACTTGCTGCCTGTATGCCAGTATCTTGCAAATTGGAAAGCTCCTTCAAAAAGTGGGTTTGTTTTAGTTGTCATCTACGCTGCCGTTCCGATGTTATTCCTTTGGACGTTATCCTGACCGGTCTCTGATGAAGTCTCTAGCCAGCAGACGGGCTGACTGGCCCTGCGTATGTGCTCCTGCGTATGCCTACGAGTGTGCGAGCGTATATATGTAGGTGTGAGCACTCGTGTGCGAGTTGCGAACGTAAGTCAGCGTCTGCGCGAGAGCGCCAGCGTTTGTCCACGACGTGGCGTGCCGCACCTCCGATCGGCGCGGTTGGCCACGTACGATGCGATGGAAGTTCAACGCGCATACGTACATACATACACGTGCCCGCCCTCCCGTCACCTGTGCGGGTCGTGCCAGGCGGGCAAGGCCGCCGCCCTTGAGCAGCGAGAGGCCGCGGCGCACCGCGTTGAGCTCGCCGATGGCCGCGCCCCGCGTGGCCAGGAGCCGCGTCACCTCCTGCTTCTCCTGCAGACTCACGGGGGGCACCGGCGCGGGCAGCAGGGCGGAGCCACCCCCTGAGTGGCGGTGGGAGGGGGTGGGCGGAGGGGTCGAAAGGCAATGGGGAACCATGCACGGTACCAACAGTCAAAGTGGTGGTGGTGCACAGGCCGATGGTCCACAAACGTGTAGGGGGGGGGGGTCGGTGGATCGTGTGTAAATGGAGCGATGATGTGTGCGCGAGATGTAAACTATTTTATTTCACCAGGTAAGGCCCACTGAGCTATATAGCTTTTTTTCAGAAGCGACCTGGCGACAGATGATAGTCCAATGAAGTGGCTTATCATGTGGAAGATTATAACAGCCCAATACTCTAAACGCATGTTTGTAAATGAGGAGTGAAAAACCGGAGGTTCCGGAGAAAAATACAAGCGAACGCCAGGAGAACATGCAAACTCCAAATATACAGGCATCAGGATCAAACTTACGACCTCTTGTATAGCAGGCGAGGTAGTTAACATCTCCAACGATGAGTCTCGAGGGAGAAAAATAGCATATACAGTAATTGCGTGAATTAAAATTAATGTCTCACAAACACGTTGCAACGCACGCATCGCGATCGTAGAAATCCACTTTACCAGATGAAACGTGCCCATATATTATCCACTCAGCTTTGACCTCTTCACTTGACATTAAATTCCCCTCCATTCCCCCCTCATCGTGCCATTGCGGTCTCTCGCTACCGAGACGGCAATCACTCAAGCGCAAGGGGGGGGGGGGGTGGCACCTGAGATGAGAATGAGGAGGAGGTCGCTCGGTCTCAGGGGTTCCACGAGCCGCTGGATGTAGCGGGCAGCTTCCAGCGACCCCTCGTCGGGCAGGTTATTGAGGGCCCCTTCGAACACCCTCAGCTTGGTGTCTGGCTGCAGAAGCATCTCTCTGCAACGTGAGAAATCCCACGCGTTTGCTCTCGACTCGCCGGTTATATCGAGCCAATTTGGCACGCAGAATCACATTGGTTTTAACAGAGAACAGTGTGCGGTAAAATATTGCAGATGTCTGGCACATTCTGCCACCGCAAATATCTTAAACAAATGGTTGTGACCAATGCCATAATGCCCAGCCACCTTTGTCTCTCCCCAGTGCTGATATTGAGCACACCACACTATGCACTCAACTTCAGTTGATTTCATAAAGGTGGGGAGGGTGCAGTGAAGGACCGTTAAAAAGCTGTAACAATGCCATTTGGCCTTCTCTGCTCTGACACTGGTGAGACTAGGCCCTAAAGGCTGTCTCTGGTGTAGGCCAATCAGTTTCGAAGACAATGCATATATTAGCAGAGCGTGTTTTGTTTGCATGTTCACCACAAGTACGTGCGGTTATTGGACACTTTATTCCTTGAAAAAGGTTCATATTTGGTGTTTGAACATCTTAACACCTGTTTTATTGTCAGAAAGGGCAAAGCCTATTCTTGTTTTTTTTTCACAATGCTCACAACTGCCAGGAATGGAAGCCCGTTCGCCGGGATCGATCGGAGCGCCTCGCACTCGCCGACCCCCAGTGCTCACAGGTACGTTGATTCCCTTGAGCGGTGGCAGTGTGCCCCCGCACACACATCTGTCTGCGCGTGCATGCGTACGTTTTGCCGGCCTGGCGAAGGCTCTCCTGCGCCCCCACTGGAACGCTGAGCGCACCCCGCACGACGTGGCGGCCCAGCAGCTCCTCCGCAGCGCGGCCCATGCCCAGCGCCGCCTTGCCGAAGCCCACCACCGTCACGTTGCGCCGCAGCGGGAAGCGGCGCCCGCCGGCGCTCAGCGTGTCGCCCCCCTCCACGCGCAAGCTGCGCCGCACCATGCCCAGCGGCAGCACCGCCGACACGGCGCTCCGGAACAGCTCCTAACCCCGGGTGGTGGTGGAGGGGGAGGGAGGGAGGGAGCACCGATCTTTTCCAATCTCAAAGGGAGATGTAACCTGTGAAATAGTTTGTACGAAACCTATCATGTTGTCTAATACAGGCGGGTAATAACGTAGGAATACATAATTTAATTGGCTGAAATCAATTTATTAAACTCATGATACACATGTGCATCTGAGAATCTTCTAATTTAGATTTATACAAACGTTATGCTGTTTCGTTCAGGTTAATAGCAAAAGAGACAGAATAACAAAAAAATACAAATGAGAGAATGAAACGAGACGAGTTCATCTAACCTTTACGTACGTATGTTGAACTTCTTTCGCACCATAGCCAGGCGTGCTAATTAGTGGGGGGGGGGACGTTCTTGACCATAATGGGAAGGTGGTATTATGTGACCTAGAGGCCAACCGAAATTCGGTTTCAGTTCCGAAAGTTGGCAAATGGCCTCTTCCGGCATAGTTTCTATTTCGGCCGAAGCCAAAAAGTTCACTTTCGGTTTCAGCCGAAAGTCAATGTTTTACTTTCGGTCTAATTTGACCATACCTCACCATGATGATAGTGCAGGTTAATAAAGGCAGGGAACACAGACATGGTAAAAGTACTGGACTGTATCACGATCGTTTTTTTCTGCATTGCCATCTGCTGCCCACTACAGAGCCCCTAAACCTATAAGTGGTATGCCGTGGTGGTCACCTATCAAAAACAGTTATCCAGGCTCCAGCCTACTTAGCATCTGGGATCTCACGAGATCGGGTGCATTCCGGGTGATTTCACCATCTGGCCAAATGGTGTGAACATGCACTGTGTACACATCAGACTGACCTCCGCATCGCTGCAGAGAGCGGGGTCCCTGCCCCGCGTGACGCCGCGAGCGGACGAGCGCATGTCGTGTCGCGAGCGGAGCGGAGCGAAGGCAGCGGCCGACGAGACGCGACGTCGGTGGAGCTTCACGCATTTGAGCATGACGGCGAAGGGTCCCGTTAAGGCTGCTGCATGGGGCTGCTCCACAACGCAGCCATATTTACAAGCACGTCATATAGTGTAACCGTCACGACCACAACATCAAAACACACCCACATCGCAACTCTGCAATGCCACTTGACAACAAAGTGGACCATGTGGTCCCACTCTTGCTCTTGCTTCCTATAGAATCAATATTTATTTATACTGGAGGAATCCGATGAGCTGTAAAGCTCTTTTTCACAGATGTCCTGTAGAGGCGGGTCAGAATATTAAAATACAAAAAAGCACGATAGGAGTGCAAAGCATAGGAAAGATGAACAAATCACCTTAAAATATACACAAATAAAACTAAACAATGTTTTGTCCTACCAGGTAAGGCCCGATGAGCTATTAGCTTCCAGTTCTTACTGCACACTACACGTGACCAAGGTCCAATCTAAGTCTCGTCAGCACCAGCCTTTATGTATTCACATTGGTCGTTGACCTCTGGATGCCATTCCAATGCCAGTGAGTCTTGGCAACCCATCATCTCCCATGCGCCACACGTCCCACCCATCGAGGTCTCGTATGCAGAATAAACATTGAACACATTCTTTGTTACTACGGCTACCATGACAGCTATCCCATTTCCGTAGTTATCAAGTACGCAGGCGGTGTAACTGACCCTTAACCCGTGGTTGTGTGTGAGGATGTCCCGAACATCGTCTACACATTTATGCGCTCTAACCCAAAACAACATTTTTATGGATGGTATTTGTCGCAAAAGCCTAACTGTTAAGCTGACTTTGCACACCTATTGTATTATTTGTATTGTTTGTTGTTGTAACGTTTTGACCCGCCCCGCACTGAATTGATCGCCCCAGCTGGGGCGCATCCGGACCACGCGACAATGCCCGCCTCGACGTCGCGCTGCACGTGGCGGCCACGTGCTGAGGATGGTGGACGTCACGTGACTCGTCGGAATCACGTGATGCGGCAAATTACAATTCCCACGGTGCATTTTCCTGTTAAGAAAAGTGGGATTCTCGGAGTCGCTGACATGAGCTGAATTCGCGTGTACGATGGAGGATAACGACAGTGGATTAAAAAAAACCGAGCGCGCTGAGGTGTCGTGAAAGCTACAACAACAACAAAAAAAACCTGGCCGCAAAGTCCCTCAGCGGCGGTGGAGCGCCGGGTCCGTGTATCGTTCCGCGCGCTGTGTTCCTCCGCAGCGGGGCGAATCACCTCCAAGCCGTGCGCGCGCGCGCCACCTCGGATGTCTCCGCCAATCAGCGCGCGGAACGTGGGGAGGGCGGGGTGGAGGGCGTCGCTCGACGGGTACCCCAGCCAATCAGAAGCGCTTCGTCTCAGGATTCTTGCTGACAAAAGAAAAACAATGGAAATCTATTGTCATTTATGTGCACACATTAACCCGCACCCGCCCTCCCCCTCTCCCCTGGCCTTCAGACCTGGAAACCCCTTATCAATGACCGCTACCTTATTAGAGACCTTATTGGTCACCTCGTGCCCCTTATAAATCTCAACGTTCGTCCCACAAAGTCCAATCACAAGGGAGAAACACAAACAATAGACACATTTTTTTTGTCCGTATTGAAGCGGCTTATACGCCGTGTGGATCTAAAATCTCAATTTCCCTGCAGAAGAATACTGGGTAAGCCGTATGGGTTGACAGCCGTGTGATTGTCTCACACTTGTCCCCTATATCTATACCTGTGTTGTAAAGTGTTCCGCTCAAACCAACGATATATTATAAAATATCACATTTACCTCCCCTATTTAGACCGAAACAGGAGGAGGATTTCTCCACAATTCTGGCCGTCGCCTGATGATGCTGGTTGTAATTACTGGCGAAACGTCACGGCACTATAATTGTAAATGTTGTAGTGGGTTTACTCTCCAACACACAACCGGTGTGTGCTCAACTAGTACTATACACTACACTATACACTACACTATACACTACACTACACTATACGCTACACTATACGCTACACTATACACTACACTCTACACTACACTATACACTACACTATACGCTACACTATACGCTGCACTACACTACACTATAATTGTAAATGTTGTAGTGGGTTTACTCTCCAACACACAACCGGTGTGTGCTCAACTAGTACACTACACTATACACTACACTATACACTACACTACACTATACGCTACACTATACGCTACACTATACACTACACTCTACACTACACTATACGCTACACTATACGCTACACTATACTATACACTACACTATAATTGTAAATGTTGTAGTGGGTTTACTCTCCAACACACAACCGGTGTGTGCTCAACTAGTACACTACACTATACACTACACTATACACTACACTATACACTACACTACACTATACGCTACACTATACGCTACACTATACACTACACTCTACACTACACTATACGCTACACTATACGCTGCACTACACTATACACTACACTATAATTGTAAATGTTGTAGTGGGTTTACTCTCCAACACACAACCGGTGTGTGCTCAACTAGTACACTACACTATACACTACACTATACACTACACTATACGCTACACTATACGCTACACTATACACTACACTCTACACTACACTATACACTACACTATACGCTACACTATACGCTGCACTACACTATACACTACACTATAATTGTAAATGTTGTAGTGGGTTTACTCTCCAACACACAACCGGTGTGTGCTCAACTAGTACACTACACTATACACTACACTATACACTACACTATACGCTACACTATACGCTACACTATACGCTACACTATACACTACACTCTACACTACACTATACACTATACGCTACACTATACGCTGCACTACACTATACACTACACTATAATTGTAAATGTTGTAGTGGGTTTACTCTCCAACACACAACCGGTGTGTGCTCAACTAGTACACTACACTATACACTACACTATACACTACACTATACGCTACACTATACGCTACACTATACGCTACACTATACACTACACTCTACACTACACTATACACTACACTATACGCTACACTATACGCTGCACTACACTATACACTACACTATAATTGTAAATGTTGTAGTGGGTTTACTCTCCAACACACAACCGGTGTGTGCTCAACTAGTATACTACACTATACACTACACTATACGCTGTACACTACACTATACACTATACGCTACACTATACGCTACACTATAAGCTACATTATACGCTACACTGCACGCTACACTATACACTATACGCTACACTATACGCTACACTATAATTGTAAATGTTGTAGTGGGTTTACTCTCCAACACACAACCGGTGTGTGCTCAACTAGTAACGAATCGGCACGTTTGTTTACGTTACAAACCGGACTAATTGCTTGCTAATTGGGTGGGGTAAATAACGAACTCGTTTTCAACTCTAGCACCAATCCGCGATAGCGCAATTTGGGGAACTCCTGTAATCCGCGATTCTTTCAAAAGAGAAGAGAACGCCGCACGAGAGCATGCCAGGAGCACTGCACCGGAGCTAAACAAGTTACCTGCTGCTACTGCTCATTCTGACAGTGGTGCACGAAGCGCAAACAGCAACAACAACAAATACGGCAACATTTGTCGAGTGCTCAGTGCTGCACCGTGGATAATGTGGATGTTGTGAGTGCTGCACTGTGGAGACTGTCAGTGCTGTCAGTGCTGTGAGTGAGTGGTGTGAGTGAGTGAGTGGTGTGAGTGAGTGCAGTGAGTGCAGTGAGTGCAGTGGTGTGAGTGAGTGCAGTGAGTGGTGTGAGTGAGTGCTGTCGGTGCTGTGAGTGCTGCACTGTGGAGACTCTCAGTGCTGTGAGTGCTGTCAGTGCTGTGAGTGAGTGATGTGAGTGAGTGAGTGCTGTGAGTGAGTGCTGTGAGTGCTGTCAGTGCTGCACTGTGGAGACTCTGAGTGCTGTCAGTGCTGTGAGTGCGTGCTGTGAGTGAGTGCTGTGAGTGCTGTGAGTGAGTGCTGTGAGTGAGTGCTGTGAGTGAGTGAGTGCTGTGAGTGAGTGTGAGCTGTGAGTGAGTGTTGTGAGTGTGTGAGTGAGTGCTGTGAGTGAGTGTGAGCTGTGAGTGAGTGATGTGAGTGAGTGCTGTGAGTGCTGTGAGTGAGTGTGAGCTGTGAGTGAGTGATGTGAGTGAGTGATGTGAGTGAGTGAGTGTTGTGAGTGAGTGATGTGAGTGAGTGATGTGAGTGAGTGTTGTGAGTGAGTGATGTGAGTGATGTGAGTGAGTGTTGTGAGTGAGTGTTGTGAGTGAGTGTGTGAGTGAGTGTTGTGAGTGAGTGAGTGTTGTGAGTGTTGTGAGTGAGTGTTGTGAGTTTTCTGAGTGAGTGTTGTGAGTGAGTGTGTGAGTGCTGTGAGTACTGTGAGTGAGTGCTGTGAGTGAGTGAGTGCTGTGAGTGAGTGTGTGTTGTGAGTGAGTGCTGTCAGTGCTGTGAGTGAGTGCTGTGAGTGAGTGCTGTGAGTGCGTGAGTGTGTGTTGTGAGTGAGTGCTGTGAGTGAGTGCTGTGAGTGAGTGTGTGTTGTGAGTGAGTGCTGTCAGTGCTGTCAGTGCTGTGTATGAGTGCTGTGAGTGCTGTGATTGAGTGCTGTGAGTGAGTGCTGTGAGTGAGTGCTGTGAGTGAGTGAGTGCTGTGAGTGAGTGTTGTGAGTGAGTAAGTGCTGTGAGTGAGTGCTGTGAGTGAGTGTTGTGAGTGAGTGAGTGCTGTGAGTGAGTGTGTGAGTGCTGTGAGTACTGTGAGTGAGTGCTGTGAGTGAGTGAGTGCTGTGAGTGAGTGTTGTGAGTGTTGTGAGTGAGTGCTGTGAGTGAGTGCTGTGAGTGTATGAGTGCTGTGAGTGTGTGAGTGAGTGTAGTGAGTGAGTGCTGTGAGTGAGTGCTGTGAGTGAGTGTTGTGAGTGTGTGAGTGAGTGTAGTGAGTGAGTGCTGTGAGTGAGTGCTGCGAGTGAGTGTAGTGAGTGAGTGCTGTGAGTGAGTGTTGTGAGTGTGTGAGTGAGTGTAGTGAGTGAGTGCTGTGAGTGAGTGCTGTGAGTGAGTGTAGTGAGTGAGTGAGTGCTGTGAGTGAGTGTGTGAGTGCTGTGAGTACTGTGAGTGAGTGCTGTGAGTGAGTGAGTGCTGTGAGTGAGTGTTGTGAGTGTTGTGAGTGAGTGCTGTGAGTGAGTGCTGTGAGTGTATGAGTGCTGTGAGTGTGTGAGTGAGTGTAGTGAGTGAGTGCTGTGAGTGAGTGCTGTGAGTGAGTGTTGTGAGTGTGTGAGTGAGTGTAGTGAGTGAGTGCTGTGAGTGAGTGCTGCGAGTGAGTGTAGTGAGTGAGTGCTGTGAGTGAGTGTTGTGAGTGTGTGAGTGAGTGTAGTGAGTGAGTGCTGTGAGTGAGTGCTGTGAGTGAGTGTAGTGAGTGAGTGAGTGCTGTGAGTGAGTGCTGTGAGTGAGTGTTGTGAGTGAGTGTAGTGAGTGAGTGCTGTGAGTGCTGTGTGTAAGTGAGTCAGTGTTGTCAGTGCTGTGAGTGAGTGTATGAGTGAGTGAGTGCTGTGAGTGAGTCCTGTGTGTGTATGAGTGTGTGTGAGTGCTGTGTGTGTGTTGTGTGTGAGTGTGTGTTGTGTGTGAGTGAGTGATGTGTGTGCTGTGTGTGAGTGTGTGAATGTGTGTAAATGTGTGAGTGTGAGTGAGTGTGAGTGAGTGAGTGTGAGTATGAGTGCTGTCAGTGTTGTGAGTGCTGTGAGTGAGTGAGTCCTGTGTGTGTATGAGTGTGTGTGAGTGCTGTGTGTGTGTGAGTGCTGTGTGTGTGTGAGTGTGTGTTGTGTGTGAGTGAGTGATGTGTGTGCTGTGTGTGAGTGTGTGTTGTGAGTGAATGTGTGTGTGTGTGAGTGTCAGTGAGTGTGAGTGTCAGTGAGTGTGAGTGAGTGAGTGTGAGTATGAGTGCTGTCAGTGTTGTGAGTGCTGCACCGTGAAGGCTCTCGGCGTTGTTTAAATTCGCCGCGGTCCCTGACCCCGCAGCTGAGAGACGACAGGAAGCGGCGACTCGGAGAGGAAGCAAGCGGGGAGAGAGGGAGAGAGGGGAGGTGAGTGAGGAGAAGGTGAGGGTGAGTGAGGTGAGTGTGAGGTGAGGGTGAGGTGAGGAGAGGTGAGGGTGAGATGAGGGTGAGGAGAGGGAGAGGAGAAGGTGAGGGTGAGTGAGGTGAGTGAAGAGAGAGGGTGAGTGAGGAGAGGGTGAGTGAGGGTGAGTGAGGAGAGGGTGAGGTGAGGTGAGGGTGAGTGAGGTGAGGGTGAGTGATGAGAGGGTGAGGTGAGGGTGAGGTGAGTGAGGAGAGGGTGAGTGAGGGTGAGTGAGGTGAGGGTGAGTGAGGAGAGAGGGAAGGTGAGGGTGAGGTGAGGGTGAGTGAGTGTGTGAGTGAGGTGAGGGTGAGGAGAGAGGGGAGGTGAGAAGGTGAGGTGAGGTGAGGGTGAGTGAGGTGAGTGTGTGAGTGAGGAGAGGGTGAGTGAGGTGAGTGTGTGAGTGAGGTGAGGCTGAGTGAGGTGAGTGTGTGAGTGAGGAGAGGGTGAGTGAGGTGAGTGTGTGTGTGAGGTGAGGCTGAATGAGGAGAGGGTGAGTGAGGTGAGGCTGAGTGAGGTGAGGCTGAGTGAGGTGAGTGTGTGAGTGAGGTGAGGCTGAGTGAGGAGAGGGTGAGTGAGGTGAGGCTGAGTGAGGTGAGTGTGTGAGTGAGGAGAGGGTGAGTGAGGTGAGTGTGTGAGTGAGGCGAGGGAAGAGATGGGGGTGAGTGAGAGACGTTCCGTGTGAGTGGAGCCTGGTGAGAGTGGCGACCCCTCACAGCAAGTTGACTGCGTGGAGACCACGGCCTTCTGTGTCATCTACTACACCCCCCCAACCCCCATGCGTTAAGTTCCATGCGTGGAGCAACTTGGTCTAGGGGATGTTAACGACCTCGCCTGGTCTACAGGAGAGGTCGTGGGCTCGATCCCTGACGCCTGCTGCTGCTGCTTGCTGCTGCCTGCTGTTGCCTGCTGCTGTTGCCTGTTGCTACTGCTGCTTGCTGCTGCTGCCTGCTGCTTGCTGCTGCCTGCTGTTTGCTGCTGCTGCCTGCTGCTGCTTGCTGCTGCCTGCTGTTGCTTGCTGCTGTTGCCTGTTGCTACTGCTGCTTGCTGCTGCTGCCTGCTGCTGTCTGCTGCTGCTGCCTGCTGCTGCCTGCTGCTGCTGTCTGCTGCTGCCTGCTGCCTGCTGCTGCCTGCTGCTGCTGCTGCTTGCTGCTGCTGCCTGCTGCTGCCTGCTGTCTGCTGCTGCCTGCTGCTTGCTACTGCTGCTTACTGCTGCTGCTGTATTTTTTGGAGTTTGCGTCTCTCTCGTGAATTTTTCTCCAGGTCCCTCCGGGTTTTCTCTCCCCAGTTAGAATCAACATGATGCGTTTAGAGTATTTGGCTGCGATGCATTTTCACGCGATAAGCCGCTTCGTTGAGCTCTCATTTGTGGCCAGGTTGCTTCTGAAATAAGTAATATTTAAAAATAAGTTTTTTCTTAAAACACGCTTTAATTAAATGTACCGTAGTAGTAATGGCAAGACTGATGCCATAACGTAAGGGGACCATGGTGATTTACAGCCAACGTGAGTTGAGCGTGGACAGTTGGACCCAAGCCGAAACATAACATATACAAAAAGATGGTTTAAAAATATTGTTTTTATTTCTAATGATATAATATAGTATTGTCATCAGTATGACATAGGTACACCAAGTTTACAGTCGATACCACATTGGGAAGTGGGTTAAAATTGAGTTAAGATTTATTTAGATACGACAATAACAGACAGTTAAATAAAAGCGTGTAAATATTTTAAAATAGCTCTATACCTCCGTCGGCCTTAACTGGTAAAATAATAAATAGTTTTAATTGTTTTAGTTTAACTGTTGGGAACTCTTCCTTCGTATCGAGTTGCACATTTATACACGCACTATTTACCGTGCATGTTTGTTTTTAGTATTTGGGTTATATCCGTAATCTTGGTGATCAATTTACCGCATGCACAAGTGATGTGACGCGTGTTAACGAAAAATAAATTGACGTTACTTTGTGTGCCCTGCAGCTGTGTGTGTCTCTGGCCCTGGGCCTCCCCTAGGTCGACTCAGCCTGAAATGAGTACGCGGTGCAGTGGGTTCACATCAACAGCACTTGCCCCCCAACAGTCTGCTCATAGGTTATACGGGGGATCGATCTTCATGTCTCTGTGCACCTGTGCTTTGCCTGCACAGGTATCGGTGAGCAAACCATGGCGGGCGCGGAGGGGACGCTGTCGAAGATGTCTCCCGCAGTTCGCCACTTCGTCGAGGAAATGCTGAGGCACGGCCGCGTGGGCCTGGGGGCCCCAACAACACTGCGCGTCACCGACCTCAAATCCGGGTTCGGCTCCTGCACGGGGCGCCCAGCGCCGCCTCCCTCACCTGCACCCACCCAGGCAGCGTCCTCCGCAGCGCCGTCGTGAAAAAGCCTCGGCCATGAACCTTTACGTTAATTACGTACAGGTCAATTCGTAACCGGCCAGCTTACAAGTTTATTTGGTTTTACCGTGCGAGCTCGCAGAGAGACCGAGATAGTGTAATTTGCACGAGTGACCTGGGTGGCTCGGCAATCGGAAACTTGCGAGTTTAAATGCTGGTTCGAGTTTTACTCAACTCGTCATTCCTCTGGGGATCGATACATTTAGTTCTGTACCACCTTTGTGGGGAAGTCAACAGTGGTTGTCCTTTGAATGGACCTTTCCCTGCCATAGTAATGTGTTAGTTTCCACCACTGGCTTAGGACTTTAACAGCAGATGAGCACACCACCTCAATGTTCATTCGGGCAGAAAACCACTTTGACTTACTTGGCTTTTAATCCACGCACGCTGACACTGAGACATGTGTTGTTGCTGAGGATTCTGGGCCTTGGTCTCTTTCAGGTGTCCCTCACTGACCCCATCCCCGTGCTGTGATCGATTCAAGCTGCACATTCCCTACGCCGGAGACACCATCAAGTGTACGTGCCGTGATTGAACCGCTCCACTTCTACCTCCACTGTGTGGCCGACGGGAGGCCCGTATAGCCCCGTGTGCCAAAGCACAGCTTTTGGGTGAAACACATTGTAGGAGTAGGAGGCTTTCACGACCAATATTATCCATAATAGAGGGGTTTTTCTTTGGATTGGATCGCGTAAATATAGACGTGTTGTTAAACCCGCGCACCACCCGACACAGCCAATCGGTAAGGTTTGTCACGTAAACAAAACATGCAAATTAGTTGCTGGTTCAGCACACCGGTTGTGTGTTGGAGAGTAAACCCACAACATTTACAATTTGAGTACAGTGACGTTTCGTCGGTAATTATAACCGGCCCCATCAGGCCACGGCCAGAATTGTGTATACATTATCTTCCTGTTTCGGTCTTGAATAGGAGGGTAAATGTGAGATTTGGAATACCAGTAGCAAGTTCAGAGGCAGCAGCTGTCAAATGTATTCGTTGGTTTGAGCGGAATACGTACAACACAGATATCAGAAACGCTCCACGTGCTAAACATTTCAATGAAGTCTTGCATCAAATATAGTTTTGTTTTTTTAAATGGTCCCACCTTATCCCGCTCTCATTGTAATACGTATTTTCGTACGTCACGTAATCTGTGCGCGCCTTTAGGCGTTACGTCATGAAACCGCCGCATCGGTCCCAATACTTTACAGCGCTGTGTTGTTGTGTGATACAGTCCCGTGTCGGTGTCGCTGTGCGCAGGGGACGTCATATTCAACCACGAGTATCCGGACATTCCACCCGACTTCATGTTCGGAGAGGATACCGACTTCTTCCCGGACCCGGACGAGCTTCCCGTGCGTTTCCTGCTTCTGACAGTCACGATATGGCCACCCACTGAGAGGCATTGTTTCCTGCTGCTTCTACTGTTGTTGCTCCAACTGCTGCTTTTATTGCTGCTACCCCTCCTTCTGTTTCCTTTACTGCTGCTGTTGCTTATATTTATATTTATCCTTTTGCTGCTTCTGCTGCTGTTACAGCTGTCATTACGGCTGCTTGTGCACCTGATGCCATTACTACAATTCCCGCTGCTGCTGTTGCCTCTGCTGCTTCTGCCATTGTTACTGCTATAGACGTTGCTCCTACTGTTCCTGCGTCTGCCGTGGCTGCCGCATTACGTCCGCGTCGCTTGTTGTTGCCACCGCGTGCGCGTGCACAGCACCTGCAGGAGTGGCGGTCCCAGGACCCCGAGGCCCTTCTGCTGGTGCTACAGGAGCTTCTCGCGCAGTTCCAGGTTCACCAGCGCGAGCGCTTGCGCGATAACTCGCGCCTCATGTTCGAGTACAACTCGCTGTCCGAGCAGACGGACTACACGGTGCACATGGAGGTGCACGTGGGAAGGCGCACCGCTTGGGTAAGCCTCTTACGTTCTCCTTGTGTGTGTGAGTGTGTGGGTGCGGGGAGCGGTGTGGTGCTGATCACCCACCCCCTCGTATGCAGTACCGGCCTTAATAGGGGCTCGCTAACAGCACTTGCCCCAAAAGTCTGTTAAGGCTATATGGGGGATCTTTGCCTTTGTGGGAAGCGGTGTCAGAGTGGTTAGCGCACTGTGCCACGAACCCAGCGATCCGAGTTCGATTCCCGCTCACGGCCAATGTCAGTGACGATTATCTGAACTGGTCCTGGGCCTTGCCTCGGTCGCCTCGTCCTTAAACGGGCTCCTACTGCGGCTTCCAGCTATGGGCTCTTTTAAAGTTGAATGCATTTTAGGCGAGGAGATGAGGCTTCTAAATAATCTGTGGGTTCAGCCCCACCACCTACATCTTGCTAGCCTCAATATGTGCTCACTGACAGCTCTTGTTCCACTGTCCCATAGAGGGAGGGGGCATCTTCGTCTTAGTTACCACTCGTCGGTCCTCAACTCTGGCCTTGGTTCTTTCCGCAGGATGGCGAATGCTGCGTAAGATTCCTACTGCGGCTTCCAGTCGACTTCAGCCTCATCCCGCCATACCTGCTCAAGGTGAGGCTCCGAGCCGGCAGAGCCAACCCCAGGGGCTGTAGATTGCGGTCAGTCACAGAGTATAGAGTCTCGAGGGGCATTTAGGAGTGGCCCAATTGTGACTGCAGTGAAATGTAATCTGTCACTCACAGCACCCCTCATAGCCCAATGCACATGTTTGCAGGAGGTGCGGAATCAATAATGCGACCGCAGATGCCATCGAATTGCCTTCCATGCTCGACATATCATTGTAAACTCAGTGACTGTATCCACACACTCGCGGAGTGCACTTTCCCACACACACTGCTGCAGGCAATTGTTAGTGGAATGGCATTAAAAAAAATTGAAAAAATCTAAACCAACTTTCATTTGATCATTCTTTTTGCACCTTCCATAATTGTTGGGCTGTGAATATCAACTCACTACTTGAGAGCACGGTTGGGTGGCTGTCTGGATTCAAACCCAGGATCTCAGCCGTATGGGCTTAATGCACTGGCCCCATAAGTCTCGTGGCCACTTGTCGACCGATGCAATGAAGTGAAACCCCTGAGTTTGGGACACAGCCAATGCCCTCCTGTAACTCTGACCCTGCTCGCTGAACGCGTGACGCAGGATCCCTTGGTGGACCCGGGGGAGGATGTGGCGCTGCTGCTGGTGACGTTTGAAAACACAGAGGCCACCAAGGTGCTCCCCAAGCTCTACCTGTCGCCTCGCATCGAGCAGTGAGAGTTGCACACATGCCTCCAGCCTGGGGTTAACAGCCATACACTCCACTGCTCCGAACGCGACTATCTGGCTTGACCACCTGAATGTGAAATTGTAGTTGTTGCTCTGCATTTACATCGGCCATATTAAAGAAGACAGTTGGGGTGGGGGAACCGTTTCCAACTGAGGGCCGAGGAGGATTTTCTATGCCTTTTGGCGATGCCGCACATTAGTCAACATGCAACCTTGGTCACGCGAGGACAGTATATATTGCCTGTGCGATCAGAAGCACTTGTAATGCAACACGTGACCGGGCATGTTAAATTCAAAGTGCGGCAATTGTTTAGTATGAACCAGCGCTGCAAGCAAGCAAACTCTTTGCTAACAGCGTCTCTGTGCTGTCTGCTCTTCAGTGCCCTGGGAGGTTCCTCCGCCTTCCATATCCCCAACTTCCCCAGCGGAGGATGCCTCCTGGACTATGTTCCGCAGGTGTGCCAGCTCCTCACCAGCAAGGTAACAGCAGCACAAGCCAATTCGCCGGCTCATTCGCCAGGTTTCCATGAAGAGAAACGACTTCACTTGTTTGGAACTGAAATCGTTTTTTTTTAAGCGCGTACAAGATGAGTGGTGGTGCAGTGGTTGGCACACTTCCATGAACCCCGTGACCTGAGTTTGATTTCCATTTACGGCAAGCAACAGTGGATTCGCTTAGCCACAGTCACCAGCGTGGGGAAGTATGGTCAGCCCCCCATGAATGAAAGGCATGAGGAGGCCCTCACAAAGCGGTGTAATATTAAGCTGAGTAACTTTTTTCAATAGAATTGTTTCTCCTTAGCAGCCTGCTGGCATAAGTATGCTGTTATTATGCATTGTTCTTACGATAGTTTCTTGATGAGATCTTTCTGGATGCAATTCATCATGTGGAGTTTATTTTGCGTTGTTTTCTCATTCACTGCGCCCTGAGCCGCAGATTTTTACTGCAGTTTTATCTGTATTGTTCACCAGAAAAAACGGGATTAACAATGCCAGCAATGTTAAGAATGGGGATATTCTACACATGAATTGCACATTCTTCCCCAGTCTTCAACAGGTTAAAGATACAGCCCAAAAACAAACATCTCTCATCTTTTTTTTAATTTAAAGCTTTCGTGACTGCAGAGATTCATATTCTTGGTTCTTTCGGTAAAGTCACGTAGAAGGGAAACAATAAAATAATACAAATATAATGTGAGAATTTTATAGTTTTTTAAAATTATTTTATTGTTTCCCTTCCACATGACCTTACTGAAAGAACCAAGAATATATATCTCTAATCTTACGAACTGTATCTAGCATGGGTGTTCTGGGCTGCTCTATATCAGTTGAAAGCTTCTTTAATTCAACAACAGACTGTAAAGTTACAATCAAACGTTATACCACTCACGTTATAACGCACAGGTTCACCCATTCTTATCAGGTTCACCCATTCTTTTCGATTTAAAGCTTTCGTGACTGCAATGATTCTCTTCTTTGGTTCTTTCGGTAAAGTCACGTAGAATGAGAATAAAATAATAAATTGATAAAATAAAATAACACAATAATATTCCCACGACGTTTCGGCCACAACGAGACTGTCTGGAGGACAGCGCTGGAGTGAAAAAGCCACGCTCAGATCGCGACCTTTAAGCTGTGTGAGAAGAAAACAAAGCACCTTGACAAAGGAATTAGCATTGAATTTAGCATTGAAATAGCTAAGTTAAAGCATAGACATCCGCAGAGGCACCCCTTGACAAAGGATTTAGTATAGAATTTAGCATTGAAATAGCTGAGTGAGCTATTCAGCTATTTCAATGCTCAGCACTCAGCTATTTCAATGCTAAATTCTATGCTAATTCCTTTGTCAAGGGGTGCCTCTGTGGATGTGTATGCTTTAACTTAGCTATTTCAATGCTAAATTCTATGCTAATTCCTTTGTCAAGGGGTGCCTCTGCGGATGTGTTTGCTTTAACTTTAACATAGCCATTTCTGTGACCAGTCACAAGCTAATCACTCAGCCATTTCAATGCTAAATTCAATGCTATTTCCTTTGTCAAGGTGCTTTGTTTCTTCTTACACAGCTTAAAGGTCGCGATCTGAGCGTGGCTTTTTCACTCCAGCACTGTCCTCCAGACAGTCTCGTCCCTTCACCTGATGAAGGCTGCTTGTGTTGTGGCCGAAACGTCGTGAGAATATTATTGTGTTATTTTATTTTATCAATGTATTATTTTATTCTCATTCTACGTGACTTTACCGAAAGAACCAAAGAAGATCACCCATTCTTATCAGGCCACTGCCGGCCGAGGGGGCCTCACCATACCTGGTCGTTTGACCATACTTCACCACGCTGGTCAGCTTGCGTTGGTGAACATGGGGAGCATAGACATGGGAGCATAGAGATACGGTACAACAAATGGATTTTAGTGCGTTAACTTTTGCTGCCTACCACGTAGCCACGCAGCAGGCTATATTCAGGAGCTGCGCATGGTGGTCAATCGTGCCAGTACTATCCAGACTCGATCCTGCCTGGCTTTCGAGATATGACGAGATCGGGTCCATTCTGGTGGGGATTGGTCATAGGTGTACATTGCTCTTCAAGAAAGGGTCCATTCTGGTGGGGATTGGTCATAGGTGTACATTGCTCTTCAAGAAAATTGCATTTATTTTGTTGGGTTGTGTCTTCCTTTAGACATTGACTGACAGGCACCGATTGAGTCAACAGTCTTGTCTTTACACGATTTCCCGGAATGTCCTGTGTGTGTGTGCGTGAGCAGGTGCAGTACATCACACAGGGCTACCAGAAGCGCAGAGAATACATCGCGGCGTTCCTCAGCCACTTCGGAGAGTAAGACGGCCGCCGTTCCGTCACTCGCGAAACATCCACACTCTTCTGTCCGCTCGCCCTGTACAGTGGCATAGGGTACTGGGGCGAGGTGGTGGCTGCGATGCCCGTGAGCTGACGCTTTGGGAGCAGGGTCATAGGATCGCGCATAAATCGGTACGGGCGTGCATGTGTTTGTATGTGTAATTGACCGGTGATAAAATGCAACCAGAATGCTGAGTGCGGACGCTAACATGTTATGCCTGTCCGCGCACGTGTGGGTTAGGTCCATTGCAGAGTATGACGCCGAGGGCTTCACCAAGATCAGCCTCCTCCTGGAGGGCCTGGAGTTCTTCTTCATGGTTCACAGTGAGTGGGCGAGTGCTGTGAGCGAGTGGGCACACACTTCCTGGGAGTGGCTGTGTAGAATGACAGTAGGTGATTGCAGTACTGTTGTTCGCCAATGAATTGCCTCTTCGTCGTCAGCTCTTTAAAACGGTGTTTGATTTTGCTTGCACACGTAGGCCACATGGGGCAGTTTCCCTATCATCGGTTGTCAAAACAGTGGTTTTGTTCTCATTGCCATTGTCGTACTTTAATCTGCTGATTTATACTACAAGGAATGTATTATTTAACGTTGATTTATTGTTGTGCAATGTTTCTGATGTCTCATGTGACAGTTCTTTATTCTAATTTCTATTTGCTTGATAGCCGTACTTTATTACATATTGGCATAGCTTTTGTCATTTTTACGACCAGGGCCACTCTGGCATCTTGAGTGCCTCACCTGGTTACACAAAATACACTTGACGCCTAACCCTTCGGTGCACATCTGTGTGTGCGCACACCTGCGCACGTGTGTGCATACGCGTGCCCGTGTGTCTTTCCCGCTGTAGTCGAGCTGCCATTGTACTTCCCACGCGACCAGCCGACTTTCACCTTCCAGTCCGTGTACCAGTATGGCAGCACAGGACAGCCCTTTGTGCAGGTGCAGAAGTCTTACCCGTACAGCCCGCGCTGGGATGGCAACGAGATGGCCAAGCGAGCCAGGTGACGAGTCTGATTCTGTGGTGGACGTCCGCTTACTCGTTCACGTGTTCGCTCCTCAATTACTCGCTCACCAACTAACTCACTCACACATTCATACACTCACTGACTTACCTACTTACTCATACACTCACTCACTTACCGACTCACACACTGACTACTCTTACGCTCACATTCATACACTCACCCCCTAATTTGTTCACTCATTCATAGTTTCATTCATTAATTCACACATACATCTACTATCCATTGCCCTGAATACTTCATTCACAAACCTGCTAATTAATTCTGTCAAATTCTTACTGACCAATTAATTTACGCACTGCAGTATTTCATTTCAGCTACTCCTTTATATTCATATTTACCAACCCACTCACTGAAACATTCACTCTCTCATTCACTCACATATGAATTAATAATCTTAGTTTCTCATTCATTCATATGCTTACACACACACCCGCTCACTCGCTCAGAGCACAGCATGTTTTTCAGCTTGTATCTTTAAACGGATATGCGTAGACTGCTCTGATTGCGTGTAAACTATGCCATGTTGGAGGCAAGCTTTTCAGACCTGAAGACAAACGTGTCTTCCGTACGCACAGGGTCTACTTTGAAGAATTTTCGCCTCAATTCCGGGAAGCGGCCGTGGCGAACGGAAAACCTTGAGAAGAGGCAGTGGAGGACTCCTTCTTCGTCGAAACCCGGCCGCTCGCCCCGACGGGTTCTACCCTCCGCACTCCGAGCCCTCTCTAGCGACAACTCGTTAACGAAGGCTCATTAGTGAGCGGCTCGTTAGTGGTGCTTAAAAAGTTATGGGTTGGGTTTGAAAGCCTTGGCTGTATACAGTTTTTTTTACTTGTGACCGCCCTTCTTGGGGCTGGTTTTCACTGGATCCGTAGACAAGTTTTCACGGCTTACTTTCAGCCGGGTCTGTTAGGGTCAGCACCCCGCAAAATATTTCCGCACCTGGCAAATAACATCAAATATAACTCTCGCGATGTGTTGCTCTGGCGAATACACGGTGCCCTACTCCCAGTCTACCAGTGACCGGGAAAATATTTTAGTGAGGAATGAAGTCCCTGGGCACAATTAAATGTAGGGTCTGATGATACTTGTGCAATGTGATTTAAGGTGTCTGCTCTTGCACTCCAGGCACCTTTGCCATATGTGACGGTCTCAGACGACGCTTACAATGGGTCTCTTAGTCTTGCTTGGGTAAACAACTGGATGAACGCTAGAGTAGTATGTTATAGATATATTGTTTAGTATTCTTTCAGTCAATTTTATTCCGATTTTGCTATCTTCGCAATGTCATGGGGCGAAGATTTATCAAATTTTGGAAGTTTCGTGGAGGAGTGCTTCACCCCACGTTGCATAATTTACAGAATATGATCTCGCAGAGTCGCTTCTGATAAGACATTAAAATGCCTATTGTCCCACACTTCTCCACACTGTGTTTCTGTCATCCACTATGTTCCTACATGTACTGTGGCAACGATGTTCATTGCATGTCAGCCAACCCTATATTTCTATTTCTCAGACCTGGATTGTTGCCAAACTAAGTGAAAACCAGATTAGATTTTTGTGCTGTCATTGGTGAACGAGTTGATTTACCATCAACTCGCTACGCTTGAAAACCCCAGTTTCTTCATGGACGGTAGAAATCTGGATCCGAAATGAGGGCCCTTGCATCAACTGGAGCATTGTAAACAAACCCTAGGTTATCCCTTATGTTCTAAGAATGGCTGGCACTTTGTTGACGGTTTTTTTTACTTAAATGAAGGTACTATCAAAGTATGTGGTGAGAGGAAACAACCTGTTTAAAGCCCTTTTGTGATGGTTAGTCCTAACGCTGTGCGAAGTTTCTATATTGTACTGTATTGTATGGACCACTTTTGTGATGCTTACTGAAATCTGACTAAATTGTACACGAGGCGCGTAATATCAATAAATAACTTGCCTATAGTATTATTCCCTCTGGCTTTTGTGTTTTATTATGAATGGGTGATTGATTGCATCATTAACAGCCACGTATCGTGAGATTCCTGGAAAAGTTGGCTCAAGATTGAGATGTCATCGTGACCAAAGTTTTTGAAGCCAACAACCACACCTTGCCAACACTGTCTATTCTCCACCAAATCCCCCCGTTGCTGCTGCTGCACGACAAACACGTGACCTCAGAGATATGCTCTACTGGACGTCTGAAAAATTGCTTCATAGCTCATTGGATTTCTCCAGGATAAAAGTCTCCCAGCATCTTGTCTCAGGTCTTCCCCTTGGTTGCCGGACTCATGGAGACCACGCCGATGACTGTCTCGGCGATCGGCCCTCACCCGTCCTCCCCACATGTCACACTCGGTGCAACTGTTTCTTTCCTAAACATCTACAACACCTAGCTGCCGTGTTTTTTTTACAGACGTGCATTGCTTATCCTGTCTTTCCCCAAACTTAACAGCTGTGTTCAAATGCCGGTAACTTATTTTTCAGCTGCTTAGGGCGTTTTTTTTTATCAGGTAAGGCCCACTGAGCCAAACTCTAAACGCATGCGACTACGGGCAGAACATGCAAACTTCAACTATACAGACGTTGGGGTCGAGGTCAAACCCATGGCCTCCTATATACTTGGCGAGATAGTTAACATCTCACTCCCGTGGCTCTTTGATCCACACAGCACTCCGGCCTCAAGGGCCCTTCTCTTTACAATCAGACTCATTGCTCTTCTGTTTCAAAGTGGTTTCCATTAACCAATATATACCTGGCCTGCTAAATCGATGCACCTCTGGACCACCTCCACACAGCCTCCTACATTATGGACACTCCTGCATCAGCTACGCTCATGCATTTAAAACAGTATCAGGTGCATGAAGAAAGTACCAAAATACCTATAAATCATAACTTGAATAGTAAAATGTCGTTTGAATCGTGAGTAGCAGACCCTGCACTGTACTTAGATTATTTAGATGATTTTTCTGCTATACATTTCCACACGATAAGCCACTTCGTTGAGCTATCATTTGTGGCCACGTCGTTTCTGAAAAAGAAGCTAAAAGCTCAGTGGGTAAAATAAAACGTTTGTGTTAGCGATTTGTTTAACTTTCCTATATTTTGCACTCCTATCTGTAAAAAGAGACCTTTATAGCTCATCAGATTCCTCCAGTATAAATACAAATTCTGAGTCTGCCTTTCAAGAGACACCAGCAGGGTTGGGTCTCTAAATTTGTTGGCAGGTGTTATCGGCAAAAAAAAACTCCTCGAAGATTGTGGCCGAAAGTGCGGTACAGCAAGATGGTGCAACATTAACATGTTAACCAGCAACATCGATAGGTTACAATGAGTGCAGGGAGAAGTGGGTGGCCAGGAGATGTTAACTACCTCGCCTGGTATACAAGGAGGTCGTGGGTTCGATCCCAATCCTGACGTCTGCTGCTGCTGCTGCTGTATATTTGAAATTTGCGTGTTTATCTCTATCATCATCACGGTGGCTTGGAGATGTTAACTACCTCGCCTAGTATACAGCAGGTCGTGGGTTCAATCCCGACCCTGACGCCTGCTGTACATTTGGAGCTTGCGTGTCTCTCTCTCTTCCCGTGGTCGTGTGGATTTTTCTCCGGGTCCTCTGGGGTTTTCCCTTCTCCATTTAGAATCAACATCGCCATGCATTAAGACTATTTGGCTGATATAAATGTCCACATGGTAAGCCACTTCACTGCATAGCTGTCAACCCATACGGTTTACCCCATATTCTTGTGCAGGGAAATTGAGTTTTCAGGTCCGTACGATGTACAACCCTTTAAACACGGGCAAAAACACTTCTATTTGTGTGTGTTTCTCCCTTGTGATGGGACTTTGTAGGATGAACGTTGAGATTTGGGGGCCGTCCATAAATGACGTCACGCACCTAGGGGTGGGGGGGCAGACATTTGTGACGTGTGACGAGGGGGGGGGGGGTGAGAAATGTGACGTCACATCAAAATGCGCAACTTTAAATAAATATAGACAACACGTTCTACTTAATTAAATAGACTTTTTTTGTAAATGTGTAGTGGCCTTATTGACGTCGGAAACTGTTCACTTGAGGCAACACGTATTTATTACAGATACTTCAATTACAGTAGCGACCCTGATACTCGAAGAGGTAACGGCCTCTTCACCCGTGCTCCATAGAGAGAAGTGTTCCCCGAGCTTTAGCCCACGCTAGCTCCCTGGTTCCCTCTATCCTGGTCCTCTCTCAGGAGGCTATCTGACATGGCCCAGCTTCGGCGCAGGTCCCGACCACCAGCCACCCGAGTCCGGCCCTCAGAAGGACATCGGCCCTCGTGGTTCCGGTGTCGCACCCTGGCTTGATCTGCCCGGCCCTCAGAAGGACATCGGCCCTCGCTGCTCTGGTGCCGCACCCTGACTTGATCTGCCCGGCCCTCAGAAGGACATCGGCCCTCGCTGCTCTGGTGCCGCACCCTGGCTTGCTTTGCCCGGCCCTCAGAAGGACATCGGCCCTCGTGGTTCCGGTGTCGCACCCTGGCTTGATCTGCCCGGCCCTCAAAAGGGCAGCGAGTTAAAGGAGTTCCAGGGTCTGGCTAATCGGTCTTCTCTCTTCACTGGCTTTTCATCTTGACTGGGTCGAACTCCCCCTCAGCTCTCCGGGTCCCACCTTTTATACTGTCCCTCACTGAGGGGCGGGGCTGGAAGGGATCACAGCGTCCCCCACAGCCCCCCAGGGCGGTGGCCGTAGCGGACGTGGTTGTGGCCACCGCTATACAACCGCGTGTCACCCTCCCGTAAGACCTCTACAAATGTTTTCTCCTACAACATCAGAGTGCAGCGCCACATTAAATATGCACTACAATGACAAAAGTTTAAAGCGATTTGAAGCATAATTTATTTTCAAAATGAAATGTATTTATTTTTGGGGGGGGGGTCTGATTTTTGTGACGCCGTGTGACGAGGGGGGGGGGTAAAAAGTCGTCCAAATTCGCGTGACGTCATTTATGGGCGGCCCTTTATAAGGCCACGGGAGTGACCAATAAGGTCTGAACTGGTCTGTAATAAGGTAGGGGGCATTGATAAGGAGTTGACAGGTATATCATTGATAAGGAGTTGACAGGTATATCATTGATAAGGAGTTGACAGGTATATCATTGATAGGAGTTGACAGGGTATATCATTGATAAGGAGTTGACAGGTATATCATTGATAAGGAGTTGACAGGGTATATCATTGATAAGGAGTTGACAGGGTATATCATTGATAAGGAGTTGACAGGGTATATCATTGATAAGGAGTTGACAGGGTATATCATTGATAAGGAATTGACAGGGTATATCATTGATAAGGAGTTGACAGGTATATCATTGATAAGGAGTTGACAGGTATATCATTGATAAGGAGTTGACAGGGTATATCATTGATAAGGAATTGACAGGGTATATCATTGATAAGGAGTTGACAGGGTATATCATTGATAAGGAGTTGACAGGTATATCATTGATAAAGAGTTGACGGGTATATCATTGATAACGAGTTGACAGGTATATCATTTCGATTTAAAGCTTTCGTGACTGCAATGATTCATCTTCTTTGGTTCTTTCGGTAAAGTCACGTAGAATGAGAATAAAATAATAAATTGATAAAATAAAATAACACAATAATATTCTCACGACGTTTCGGCCACAACACAAGCGGCCTTCATCAGGTAAAGGGACGAGACTGTCTGGTAGGACAGCGCTGGAGTGAAAGAGCCACGTTCAGATCACGGCCTTTAAGCTGTGTGAGAGGAACAAAGCGCCTTGACAAAGGAATTAGCATATAATTTAGCATTGAAATGGCTGAATGATTAGCTTGTGACTGGTCACAGAAATAGCTATGTTAAAAGTTAAAGCATACACATCCGCAGAGGCACCCCTTGTTAAAGGAATTAGCATAGAATTTAGCATTGAAATAGCTAAGTTAAAGCATACACATCCGCAGAGGCACCGCTTGACAATGGAATTAGCATAGAATTTAGCATTGAAATAGCTGAGTGAATAGCTTGTAACTGCTCACAGAAATAGCTACGTTAAAGTCAGAGCATACACATTCACCGAGGCACTTAGTACAAATCAAACAAGAGAATTTAGCATTGAAATAACTAGGCGAATTTAGCATTGAAATAACTGAGTGATTAGCTAGTGACTGGTCACAGAAATGACTATGTTGAAGTCAAGGCCTACACATCTGAGCTATTCACAGTACTATATAGTGAACCAATAAAAAACTAAAATATAAATTACCTTAATGTTATCAATAAACTCTATATTCTCCAATCAGCTAAGCTACCAACAATAAGTCGTTATATATCACAATGCTATATGGCGAAAAAATGGGTGGATTCTTAACCTCAACTTTAGCACCACGGATTGCTACGGGCCCCGTTAAGACGGACGAGTTCGTCCATGGTCGGAACAGAGGAGGGGGAGAGAGACAGCTGCGAGGCGCTATTATACTCCATGTTGTAAAACCATACCATTAACCGTGGTGTGAGAGGTATTAAGAGTCAATGCTGGCGAAGGAGCTGCGGTCTGAAGGTCATCGTAAAAATACAATTAATTAAGAACAGAAATGATTTAAAACATCTTTCCAGTGGTTACTAAGCCAGAATCCATCTTCTCGGTTGAAATTGTCTCTGTGCTTGTATATGTGAATGGCCTCATGAACGAATCTCTCATGGTAGCCGGTTGGTTTGCAAAGAACCTCCGTCTTGGAGAAGTCAATGTCACGTGAGCCCACTGAATTATAACAGTGATCTGCCACAGCAGAGGAGTTCGTCCTACCTGGTTTCAAGTCTGCTTTATGATCTCGGATGCGGTCCGAGATATGTCTTTTGGTTTCTCCAATGTAGCTACTACCACAGAGGCACTTTAGTTTGTAAACGCCCGGGTACTGTATGTCTGGAACAGCATCTTTTACAGATGGAACTAAATCACGGATTTTATGTA